GATGATGTCAGAGGGCACAGCCCGTGTGACCAGCTCCACTGCGTGAGAGAGTTTGTGTCTAAAAGAAGAATAAAGGCAGCGCTGCGCGAGAAGGTGGAGTTAGAACGAAAAAGGAAAGTGCCCCATGGCACGGAGTGTGAACTATAGTAAAAGGTTAAAGCGGAGAATGAAAATTAAAGGAAAGGTCTGAAAATTGTGTTATCGTAACACTACCCCCCTTCTAAGGCTCAACTTCCAGGCGAGACCAAATACCGGAGGTGGTAGTTAAATTTTTGGGCATAGGTTGAAAAAGGGAATTAAAAAGTTGAGTCCATGCCTCTAAGCTTTGTGGGAGCTGAGGGGTTTTTAGAATAAAATTCACAAACAGTGTTGCGGGAATTGTCCAGATGGGTTTCTGGTTCCCACATTCTGTCCTCGTCTCCATAGCCCTTCCATAGGACTAGGAATTCTAGTTTTCCACGCTTTAAGTGTGCGTCCATCACCTGTTCGACTTTGAACTCTTCTTCACCTTCCTGGGTGACTACAACCGGTCCGGGCCGATCTACGCGCTGTCCCGGCAGCGGCCCTTTGTAAGGTTTCACATGGCTAATATTGACCGTGGGTACTACCTTCATTCGTTTTGGGAGTTCCAGCTCCACCGCATTAGGTTTGACTTCGTTAATCTGGTAAGGATCAATCCACTTTTTGGTCAGTTTTCTAGACTGCCAATCTTTTAACTTTAAGTGGTCGGTATCCAACCAGACCAGGTCACCGACTTTGTAGTCAGGGGCCTTAGTGCGTCTACGCTCTGCCCTGCTTTTCATCTGCTCTGCAGTTTTGAATAGCGCCTTGCGTGTTTCGTCCAAGACAGATTTCATGTCCTTGGCCATGTTCTCAGCAGCCTCGTTCTTGCTTTTGCCAGGTTCTACACCCCTTCTGGGGAGGTACAATCTAGTAACCTTGAATAGTGCCTTTCCTGTAGCTGATGACTGTTTGATATTATATGAGAACTGGGCTATTTTTAGCCACTTGGCCCAATCCATCTGCCTGTCATTAATAAATATCCAGAGATATTGTTTCAACTCCTGGTTGAGTCTCTCCGTTTGTCCATCAGTCTGCGGATGGAACACCGTTGATAATTTAGGTTTGATGCCTAGCATCCGGCATAATTATTTCGTAAATTTGCTAGCAAATTGTGGCCCTCTATCGGAGATAACCGTTTCTGGTAACCTATGGATAGACCATACAAAATCTTTGAATATATCTGCCATACCAGTGGCGGTAATGGTTTTGTTGGTGGGAATGAATACTACTTCTTTGGAGAAGCGATCTACTACCACCATTACTGAATCATACCCATTCGACTCAGGCAGATCCATTGTGAAATCAACCAATATATCCTGCCAGGGACCAGCTGGTATCGGATTTGTCATAAGTTTACCAGCCGGCGGTTGATGAGAATTTTTAGCCATGGTGCATCTCAGACAGGATTTTATGTATTCCTGTACGTCTTTGACCATGCCAGGCCACATATAGTTTCTGGAGATTAACTCCATTGTTTGTTGCCACCCAGGGTGCCCAGCCACTGGAGTGTCATGATGTCTATCTATTGCCTTGATCCTTGTGGACTCAGGCACATAGATTTTGTTTTTAAAATGGAAGAGCCCGTCTTCCCATAAATAGTTTTCATTGCCATCAAGGTGCGCCTTCTCTTCTGAGGAGATGTCTTTCTTGAAGACTTCCAGAAGATCGGAATCCTGCCTGATTCTAACATTGGCAACCCTTGATTGATCTATCAGGGTAACACCTTTGTTGTCATCTTCGATGCCGTTGGCATGATCCTCTCTTCTGGACAAAGTGTCCGCTTTCCCCATAGAGCTTCCAGGCTTATGAATTAATTTATAATTAAACCTTGACAAGTATACCACGTAGCAGGCCTGTCTTCGGTTCAAGTCTTGAGCCGTCGTAAAATACTCCAGATTCTTATGATCGGTCCAAATTTCAAATTGGTGTCTAGCACCTTCGAAGTAGTGCCGCCAGTGCTCTGAAGCTCTAATGATAACTAGCATCTCTTTGTCGTAAATTTGATAGTTGCGCTCTGTAGGCAACAAACTATGTGATAAATAAGCACAAGGCCTCCAAAGATTGTCAGGGCATTTAATTGACAAAACAGCCCCAGTAGCAAAATCAGAAGAGTCGGTTTCTAGCCGGAACTCTTTGGCTAATTCTGGAAATGCTAATATGGGCGCTGTTGTAAATGCCTGTTTAAGCTTATCAAAAGCTTCTTGTTCTTTGGCGCCCCAGTGCCAAACAATATCCTTTTTAGTGAGATTGTTCAATGGTCTCGTGATTTTTGCGAAGTTTTCAATAAACCTTTGGTAGAAATTTCCCAAGCCAAGGAAGGCCCTAACTCCCTTGACGCGAGTAGGTTCTGGCCAGTCCAATATAGCTTGAACTTTCTCAGGATCCATTCTGATTCTGTTCTGGCCTATGATCATACCGAGGAAGTCTACTTCCTTCACCTTAAAATTACATTTTTTGGGTTTGATGAATATGTCCCATTCCTGTAAGCATTGAAGGACTTCTTGCACGATCCTGTCATGCTCAGCCTCACAGATCTCTTTTTGGAATAAATACGTGCGCATCAACACACACTTTGGGATTTTGGGAAAGGGTAACTCCAACAAAGAAGAAGAGGTATCGAAAGTTACATGTTTTTCTATTTTATTTTTACCAGAATCAAGCACCCTATTGTTTGTCTCGCCGGGGCCACACTCCAAGGGAGATGCTGGTGCAGCGATAGTATCATAAATATTACAGTCACAATGCTTCATACAAGTACATATTTCAGATAACAAATTTAGAAATCTATTTACAAATTGGGGAGCCATCCCCTTCTTTCCATTATTGCTCGTGCAACACCCCGGAGCAGGGGCCACCTTGTTGTGGTTTACTTCATTGTTCATAGGAGCGAAGGCACCCAAGTGACCTAAGCTCCGAACTCTTTTCCCTGAGCTTTCATTTCATTGACTTGTTGGTCATAGAAGAAAGCTCGGATTTTGTTGTACGAACGACCGGCCAGAGTATTGAGCCAATTGTCCGGTTTTTTAGCTTCTAATTGGCGTGCCTGGCGCCCTTGATTATTTTTTTGTTGGGCGGCCTGCGCCCTGTTTCTGCAATCTCGGGACATATGTCCCTCTTGGCCACAGTTGTAACAGTTGCCCTTGAATCTGTGCATCTGTCCGCCTTGGACCACACCAATATCCATAGGGGCACCCTGTCCTGGCTGCAGCCCGAATGGCTTGAACCCGTGAGAGTGATTATGATGGTTTGATGACCCAGGGTGCCTCTGGGATTGGTTGTTTTTGGTGGTCTTGCCACTTTGGTGCATTTTGTAGAGCTCTATGGCCCTACCTATTTTTCGAACCTCCTCTGCTGCTTGAGAGAGATTCTTATTTCTCATATCCTGCAGATAAAGCTGTTCTGCAATGTGGGGGTTCACATTGCGTTCCAGCAGCTCTACTGCATGTTCATTGCCAAGACCCCCTTGGATGGAGAGGGCCAGGAATCAGGTTACAAAATCATCCGTCCTCATGTTGCCTTGTTTGAAGGAACAGATTTGCTAACGCGCCCAGTCACGCTCAGCTTGCAGCTTGAAATACTTTTTCAATCTCTACTTTGAGATCGTCCCAGGTGGGCCACACTCCTGCGGTGTAGCACTCCTGCAATCTAACTTGGGCGTATTGACCCGCCACAGGTCTATTTAGTCGAGATAGCACCACAGTGGCTACCTCAAAATCATCAGCAAATGTGTCCCAATTTGCCTTAACCCATATTTGGAGTTTGATCCACCATTCGGCAAATCACGCTCTGTCTCCCTCCAAGGTGCCAGGGTCAGCGACGACTTTGACTTTCTTATTGAATTTCTTCTCAATTGAGGGGGTTGCCGCAGGGGGATTTGCCTGCAGCTTGGCGAGTTGAGTGGTCAATGTCAAGATCTGTGCACGTATATTGTGCAACACAGCATTGACATCTATTTGAGGTTGCGACGACATGTCGACTTGTTTTCTTTGTAAAGTAAAAAAAAGGTAACTGGGGGTCCCCGCTTGCTATCTGCGGATCTACCTCTTCCCAGCTGAGTATCGGATCTTAATCTCCGACTACCCACACTATAGTATTGAAATTGTATGTAAAGTTATAGTATTAAACCCTGGTCCGAATGGTTGTCAAGGGAGCACATTTTTTCACTTGTTTTCGGTTAGGAGTAGAGGGTAGGTAGTGCAGTAGCAACGAGTGCAGTGAAAATTGTAGCCATATTGAAAATTCTCACGGTTATAAGAATATTCAACAATTGTAGTGAAAATTGTAGCCACATTGAAAATTCTTGCGCTTAATCGTTTTTACTACAAAACGCGATATAGTGGACACCAAAACTCACGCCTGTGGCACAACGTGACACAACTCAACCAAGCAAACCTCTTTTCCTATTATGTGGGAAAGTGGTCTGGCCCTACACACAAAACACATTGTTGTCGAGAATTTGCACATTTTGCATTACAAAAATTAACAACCATTATTAACCACACTATGGTGTGCATAAAAATAAAATCAAAGACCCTTCCCCACACATAAGAACACAGCTTACACAATGTGAGTTTATAACAGTTTATGGTGTTGATTCAATTAAAACTGACACATTGATTACAGAAGCCCAAATTATCAACAAATCAGTGCACATAGCAAATACATAAAATATATGAATATGAGCAATTCAAATATGCAGTATGTGTAGCATTGTTAATGTGTCATTAACCATTAACTGATATGTTGATGTGATTTGTAGACATATTCCACAGATTCCTGGACTAGAACGTGGTGAACATTGTGATAGAGATCACATACAATGTCATCAACAGATGACATCACCAAGTGTACAATGAGAGCACCTCTTGGATTGTAGAGATTTGAGAAATAGAAATATTGTGCAACCATATTTTGGAGGACCTGTGGATGATAATAACATGCCTCAGCCATTAGCTGGACCTGCATACCCTCAATTGCAGCCCCCTTTTCAAATGCATGGTGTTAACTACAATGAAAGGCTATTAGATGGGTTTCAAAACCAACATGCAGAACGGGTTAATCAATGGCATAATAGACTAAGAGGGCAGGAGCAGGTTGAGGATCAGGCAATTCAGCAACAGGAGGGATTACGGCTCCAAAGGCAGGAACAGCAGTTGGCTGAGGATCATATTCACCAGGACAGAGAAGTTCAACGGCAGGAGGCAGTTAGGCGGCAGGTACAGCGACAGGCTCAGCATGCTGACCTGCAATATGAAGAGCAAGTCTGTAGGGCACAGAGAGCCGCTCAAGAAGAGCTTGAAAGGAGGGAAGATAAGTTAGCAGATCAGGCTCACAGGGCTGCCAGGGATGCTGTAGACCAAGGCGAGGACTTAAATGAACTGGTAGCTGCCAGAAATGCACCAAGGATGCCAAGGCATCAACGACTTGCAAACAAACAAAATATTGCCAATCGCCGCCAAGCACAGGTGATATGCCAGGAGGCCCAACAACCATATGTAGAGCCTCTATACTGTCATACTTTACACAATATGGAAGTAGAGTGCCATAATTGTGGAGTGTTACACTGGGATACTGAGAGTCTCACAAGTTCCTCCAGGATCCATCCAAAATTTGGTGTGTGCTGCCTTCAAGGTCAAGTTAGGCTGGATCCTTTCCAGGAAGCACCTGCTGCGCTACGCTGTCTAATCCGTGGGGTTGACATTACTGCACGAGAATTCCGCGACAAAGTTTGCTCATACAACAATGCCTTTGCATTTACATCTTGGGTGTCAAGATAGACCATGATGTCACAAGTGCTGCAGGACTTTATAGTTTCCTTATCCATGGAGGCCTTCATTATAGCATCAGCGCATTCCATCCACCTGAAGGTGAAACTCCCTCTTTTGGCCAGCTTTACATTCACAACCCACAGACCGCCCTTTTTTTACATAATGAGAATAATCGGGGGCATGGCACTACACCAGCAACCATGCTGGAGATCCAGGATAACCTGGAGCAATTCAATCCATTCATCCCTTTGTAGAAGCAAGCTTATCAGATCATCATGGAAAAGCCTGAAGTAGAACGTGCCAACATAGCAGCCCATATAGCTCTTGATCAAACTCTGGACCAACATTGTTATAATCTTCCTACTACAGCGGAAGTTGCTGCTGTTATCCCTGGAGATGGAGAACAAGATGTTGATGAGCACCATGATATTGTTTTGCGGCTGAAGTAATTTGACCATGGCGGTGGTCTCAAGCATATCAGCCATTTGCACCCCCTTTATTCACCTCTGCATTATGTCCTCCTATTTCCCTTTGGAGAAGAAGGGTGGCATAGGATAATACGGTCCATGACAAATTATGACATTTGTTTATAGTATGAGAAAACATGCATTGGCCAGGGCTTGAACCTGGGACTCCAGCTTTCATGGTCTGGTGCTTTACCAACTAAGCTACCAAGGCGTACTTGGAAAGCATACTGATTGGTTGCATACCCAGAAGGTCCAGAATCACTGTACAAGGGTGCGGATCCCATTGTGTTGTGATAGTCCATTCAAAATGCTGATGGAAATATATGCAGTGAATATGTCTCCCAGCAGTGTTATTATGCATACCATCTCCATCCCCGAAGAACTGATCAATCCAATCTCTTCTATGGTGGAAAACTACTTCAGGAGTATTGTGTTGATGCATGGGCTTCCACAGAAGAAAGTGAATTGAAGTGGGTCCGTCATCATCAAAAAGACATAAGGGCAGATCTTTATTAAGGTGTTAAAGATGCTATGGATCAAAATGATGGGGAAATAGATTTGGGTCAACAGGGCCAGAACATTGTCCTACCATCTTCTTATTCTGGCAGTACACGGCATATGTACCAGCTTTTCCAGGACTCCATGGCTATATGTCGCCATCCCCATAAACCTGATATTTTCCTTACAATGACAGCAAACACCAATTGGCCTGAAATTCAAGAGGCTTTGCTGGAATACAATAATGCCGGTGAAATAGATGATGACCCTGATATGTCTACAAGAAAACAGACTGCTGCAGACCGTCCTGACATTGTTGCACGTGTCTTCTATCAGAAAAAGAAGGCACTATTGAAGGAAGTCAAAGATGGGATCTTTGGAAAGACTTTGGGATCTGTTTACACTGTGGAATACCAAAAGCGGGGTTTGCCACACATGCATCTTCTCATACTCTTGGAAGATCAACATAAAATTTGTGATGCCACCCAGGTTGACTCTGTTGTCTCTGCTCAAATTCCTGATCCTGTCACACAACCAAAGTTATGTTCAATGATCACAAAGTGTATGATGCACGGTCCCTGTGGAACTGAGCACCCTGGAGCCTGGTGCATGAAGAATGGAGCATGCTCAAAGCGCTATCGCAAAGAGTTTTGTGCTGAAACCAGATTTGGTGATGATGGTTATCCAGAATATGCAAGGCCTGACAATGGGAGGACTTATACAGCTCCAAGTAGTCATGTTTTTGATAATTGTGATATGGTCCCTTGCAATGCACAATACATATCTCTCTGCCAAATATGACTGTCACATTAATGTTGAAATTTGTGCATCTGTTGAAGCTGTTAAATATATTCATAAATATATTTACAATGGCTATGATCAAGCTTCAGGTATAGTGGGAGGGCAAGATGCAGATGTAGAAATTGTCCATGGAGATGCAAGGCAGCCGAGGAATGAGATTCAGGAATATATTGATGGTTGCTATATTGGTCCAGTGGAAGCATACTGGCATCTCTTGGAGTTCCCAATGCATGAAGAAAAACCAACAGTATTGTGCCTTCCCATTAACTTAGAGGATCAGCAAACTGTATTCATCAATGCCCATGATGATGCAGATAATATAATCAATAACAACTATACATCAAAGACTCAGCTCACAGAATGGTTCTCTGCTAATAAAAATCACCCTGAAGGTTGTCACATACCTTATCAGGATTATCCTCAATACTTTGTCTGGAACAAAGGTGCCAAAAAATGGACTTCAAAAAACAACAATTTGCTACAGGGAGAATGATGTTTGTCCATCAAAGCCAAGGGGGGCGCTTCTACTTCCGTACACTGCTCACTGTGGTCCCTGAAGCAGGGGGTTGGGAAGATCTGCGCACATTTGATGGGGTTTTACATCCAACTTACAAAGCTACATATGCTGCACATGGCCTGTTAGAAGACAATGGTGAATGAGATCAGTGTGTGTTTGGCAGAAGCAGGAGATATGCAGACAGGCCCTGAACTCTGTGCTCTCTTTGCAGTTATCTTACTGCAATGTTTTCCAAATGAGCCTGCAGACAGACCTTTGGAACCAGCACAAACACAAGTCTTGTGATAATTTACACTATTGCCTTCTTCAAAGAGGGATTGCCCAACTTTCAGAAGACCAAATTTATGATTATAGGCTATTCTAGCTAGAATCCATACTTACTCAATCCAACAAATGTCTTTCAAACTTCCCACCGATGCCTTTGCCTCAGCAACAATGGGAGCCTATCATTGCAAACAATATTCTCCACAAACAGCAAAATTATGACAGATTTGACCTTACTTTGGAGGTTGAAGATAATGTAGAGAGGCTCAATCAAGAGCAACAGAATACTTATGATACCATCATGCAGTAAATCCACCATAAGCAGGGAACAATTTTTTCTATTCACAGTGCTGGAGGTGGGGGCAAAACATATCTCTGTAACACAATTGCTGCCGCTGTTTGAGCAAGAGATAATCATAATGTTGCTCTATGTGTAGTATCCTTGGGGATTGCATCCCTGCTCTTGGAGGGTGGCTGCACAGCTCATTCACACTTTGGAATCCCTATTCTTGTACATAAAATATCCACATGCAGGATTCTAAAAAACTCTGACCTCCATGAGGTATTGAGACATACCAGAGTTATTGTCTGGGATGAAGCACCAATGCAACACCATCATGGGATTGAAGCATTAGATTGTATATTGTGGGACATTTTGGATAATCAGCTTCCATTTGGAGGCATTATAATGGTCTTTGGAGGGGATTTTCGCCAAAAAACACCTGTTGTTTCAAGAGGGTCAAGGTAACATATTATTTCTGCCTCTCTTAGAAAGTTGCAACTGTGGACAAATATCCATGTCTGCTATCTCAAACAGAACATGCACCTGAACTGTACTCCAGAAAGTGAAGTTTTTGGCTCCTGGACATCAGTGGTGGTCGTGAAATTGCAGAAGATGGAATAATTGAGCTTCCCACCAACATGCTTATGGCAGAAAACATCAAAGACTCATTAGTTAAGACTACCTATCCTGGAATTGCAAATGGAGACAAAGATGACCATTATTTCCTCCACTGCACCATCCTCTCCACAAAAAATGATGCCATTAGCAACCTTAACTCAGCAATCTTCTTCACAAAATTCCTAGGAGAAGAGTTAGTAGCTCTGTTAATTGATAAAATAGTTGGAGAGGGAAATGAACATAATGCTGTGGAATTCTTGGACTCCTTGCAAATATCTGGCCTTGCTGAAGAGCACCTCAAATTTAAAGCTGGATGCTTTATGCTCCTCCACAATATTGATACCCTAAATGGACTCTGTAATGGAACATGCATGATTTTGATAGAGATGAAGAGAAGAGTATTGAAGTGCCGTGCCTTGGGAGGAAAACATGCAGGAGAAATAGCTTTTATCCCATGCCTCACATTGGAATTTTCATTGGAAGAATTGCCCATCAAGCTATCACTTTGTCATTTTCCTGTTTGTGTTGCCTTTTCCATGACCATCAAAAAATCTCAAGGGCAATCAGTGACACAGGTTGAGCTGGACTTACATGTCCCAGTCTTTTCACATGGGCAACTTTATGTTGCATTGTCTTATTGCACTTTAGGAGAAAGAATTAAAGAGCTATTTCTGCATGGTTCAAATGACAGATGTACCATCAATGTGGTATATCCTGAAATTCTGACTGGCTTTTATCCGTGACTGGCAAGTAATTTGTTCCCAAATTCTTACCCTTTTTACGGAAATGTTTTGTTATCAGATTATATTATCATCCTTTACCACTTCTGTATTCTGTATTTTTATTTATCATCAATTTATCAATATAATACCACAGACTATCTATTCCTATATCATTTAATATTGGCTGTGTTCTCTATTATTTTGCCTCTGTGGCTCCTTTGCTTACCTTTGCTTACAAACCTTTGGACAGTACTACAGAGTCCAATGCTTCCTATTCTCTAGTTACTCACATTGGACTCTAGTTTCCAGTCCCTGATTGCTCTCAGAAAGTGGCTAAACACTTCCCTTAAGCTTTGTTCTTATTAGATTATGAGCCCTGTGCTCTAGCTATTTTCCTGACCTCATATCTCACCATCCAAGTGTCCTACTATTAGAGTCTATATAGCCAAAGTGTTTCCTGATAACTTTAGCATTGATCAATTACAGTATATATTTTCTAACAAATACTGCTTAGATGAAGTCAGCAGAAAACCTTCTAATGATGGTAGTGTAAATAGCACCCCAACCACTTATTGCTATCAACATCATCAGAGATTTCCAATGTATTTCATCTGTTCTACAGTGTTGGCAGTTTTCAGTGTACTATTTTTCTTCCTATCTCATAAACATCATGTTGTAGAATATGAGCTAGCTGCTGCATAGTTACAAGCTGTACACATTTATGGATCTATATGATAACTTTCCATTTGGTCCTTCACTATAACAACCTATTTGCCAAGGGGGAACTATTGGGGGAAAAATACTCATAGAGCAAGCACTGTGCATTTTCTAAAAGTAACACCAGATTTTGCCAGTGGCATTAAGGCTTTTTCCATATTTTTTAGTGTCTTTACTGGTGTAAGTGAGTTTTATTATTGCATTAAAGCCTCAAACAGCCTCTGGATGTACAGGACAAAACTGTGTAAGTGTGGCAAGGGTGCAAGGGAAAAAGGGCACAACAACTCCACTTTGCTGAAGTTGCTAAGTGTCTACTGAGTCTATCAGTTTTCCTACCCTATGACTGGGTGTAGCATGTATCAAGGCAATCTTGGAAGTTTCAAACAGGCTTAGCAGGTGCCAATGAGCTTTACAGGCAGCTGCAAGATAAACAAATAAAGAGACTTAATAGGCACCAACCATCTTCAGTGGGTGGCAAGGTAATCTGGGAAGCTTTGAATAGCCTTGGCAGGTGTCAAGCAGCTTCAGTGGGCATCAAGGTGATCCAAGAAGCTTCAAACAG